TCTACCACTTCAGGCTTTTGGGTATTAATTGGAGATAAGAGTCTCATGAACTTTTCTGACAGGGTTGGCATTAAACTGTTATCTCCAGATTTCAGCCTCCTGAGTAGCTAGGATTATAGATTTGAGCCACTAATACCCAGCAGTCACAAGTATTTTTGTTTTGTTAACTGAGAACTAGCTAACACAGTAACTGTTTCATTTACACTATTCAGTAGTCTCTTGGAACTTAAAAATGCTGTTAGGTTATGCAATAACCTAATGTATAGGACCTAAAATTCTTCTTTAATAAAAGCCTTATACCTTGCTATTTGTAAATTTTAAGCTTTAAGCAGTGATACTCAGACTACCAAATTTTAAGCACATACTACTTTTAGTATATGTTCATAAAAATATCATAAAATAAATCATTTGAATAGTTCAAGAATTTAATATTGTCCATTGGTAAAGATTTGTTCAAGGCATATCCATAGGCCACTGCCCAACTTTTCTACAGATGAGCTCCTTAGACTTGTTTATAGAGAATCAACCTACATTTTTTTCTCCCTGGTCCTGGTGCTTGAATTCAGGGCCTGCATGTTGTCTGTGAGCCTCTTTGTGCTCAAGGTTAGCCCTCTACCACTTGAGCCAAAGCACCACTTCCTGCTTTTTCTGAGTAGTTAATTGGAGATAATACTCTAATGGACTTTCCTGCCCAGGCTGGCTTCAAACCTGGATCCTCGGATCTCAGCCTCCTGAGTGGCTAGGTTTATAGGCGTGATTCACCAGTGCCTGTCTCTTGAGCTACAATTTCTAAGTACCAACAAAAAATTTTCCAAATTTTTTATTGTGATTAATAGTAATTAATAATTTCCCAAATTTCACAGTATTGTGGGATAGTGATGTTTAAAGTCACAAACACATTCTAACTTTCCTGGAGCAAATTGTCTATCATGGCATGAACTATATTCTAAAATATGGTTCTTGTCATGGTATAGTGAATACCATGGTGTATATTACTTTCTAGTTAGATTCTTATGAATTTAAGGAGAACAGAATATTTCAAAATAGCAAATAAAATCTTTAAATGTAGCTTTTCATTCATTAAGTTTTCTAATTATGAAAGAAACTACTGTTTGTTCCTATAACTTTATAGGATAATTATTTATAAAGTTCCTACTTTATTTATTTTTGGGTCTGGTCATGGGGCCTGAACTCTGGGCCTGGGCGCTGTCCCTCAGCTCTTCAGCTCAAGGCTAGCGCTCTACCACTTGAGCCACAGCACCACTTCCAGCTTTTTTCTTTTTGCTTATGTGGTGCTGAGGAATCGAACCCAGGGCCTCATGCATGCAAGGCAAGCGCTCTACCACTGAGCCACCTTCCAAGCCCAAAGTTCCTACTTTATAACAGTAATGTCCCTCTACCACATTTCCCCCAAGTAAAATACATTTCCCAACCTCCCTAATAGCTAGATACAGTGCTTGTGGACAAGTCTGGTTAATGATGGTTGTGTAATTTCTGGGGCTTTCTTTATTCTTTTTCCATTTGTGGGTTACCATTGTGGAGACAAATTTTGGTCTTGTTATTTTGGGGGGTCCGGTCATGGGGCCTGAACTCTGGGCCTGGGCACTGTCCCTCAGCTCTTCAGCTCAAGGCTAGCACTCTTGAGCCATAGCACCACTTCTGGCTTTTTTTTTTTTCTGCTTATGTGGTGCTGAGGAATCAAACACAGGACCTCAAGCATGCAAGGCAAGCGCTCTACCACTGAGCCACCTTCCCAGCCCAAGATATTATTTTGGAATTCTACAGTAGCAATCTCATGGCTCAATATAAAAACTAGAGTCCAGAAATCCATTGAAGAATTGGTAATAACTGAAGTTTAATTGGCATTTGAAGGTTGCTAAAGGTGAAATGTTCAGCCATTTTGTAAAATAATAAATCAATAATTTAAGTATGCAATTCCTTTAAAAATTTTAATTGTTATTATAAAGTTGATGTACAGAGTGGTTATAGCTACAAAGCTACATAAGGTGAAGAGTACATGTTTTTTCTTTTTTTTGCGGGGGGTGGGGGGGCAGTTTGGGACTTGAACTCAGGGCCTAGGTACTGTCCCTGAGCTTCTTTTTGCTCAAGGCTAGCACTCTACCACTTGAGCCATGGCACCACTTCTGGCCTTTTCTGTTTATATGGTACTGAGGAATCAACCCAGGGCTTCATGCATGCTAGACAAGCACTCTACCACTAAGCTACTTTTTCAGATCAAGAGTACATTTCTTTTTGGACAATGTCACCCTTTCCCTCACTTTCTCCCAGTTTAATTATGCAATTTTTAACCAAGGTAAGACACATAAATCAAAATGGCTTTAAGCCATATTAATCTATTAGGATATTACAGCATTTTCTTTCTTTTTTTAATCAGTCCTGGGCTTGAACTCAGGGTCTGGGTGTTGTCCCTGAGTCTCTCTGTGCTCAAGGCTAGTGCTCCACCACCAGAGCCACAGTGTCACTAAAAGGCTTTTTCTGAGTATTTACTGGAGATAAGAGTCTCAAGGACTTTCCTGCCTAGGTTGCCTCCTATCACAGCCTCCTGAGTAGCTAGGATTACAGGCTTGAGTTACAGGTGCCCAGCTCTGTAGCTGGTATGAGAATAAAACTAATGTGATGGGGGCTGGGAAGGTGGCTCAGTGGTAGAGTGCTTGCCTTGCATGCATGAAGCCCTGGGTTAGATTCCTCAGCACCACATAAGCAGGAAAAAAAAAAGCCGGAAGTGGTGCTATGGCTCAAGTGGTAGCGTGCTAACCTTGAGCTGAAGAGCTGAGGGAGAGGGCCCAGGCCCAGAGTTAAGGCCCCACAACCGGACCCTCCCCCCCCCAAAAAAAATACCTAATGTGATGAACTGAGTCTAGAGAATCTGATATAGTAGGTCAAACAAATTTGTACCAGTTTCTAAGAGCTAAACTTTCCAGCATTCCAGTATTGGTCTTGAGATAATTGGTCTCAGATAAAAGATAATCCAATAATTACAATCACAACTCTTAGCAACTGTTGACTTACTCGAGCAGATTGCTAAACTTCAGAAGGTTATTATGCTCACATCTTATCTCAGCTATTCTAGAATTGTAGGGTTGGGTTGCATGTGATAATAGCCCTTGCTTTTTGTTTGTGGATCTTAAACTCTGGGCCTTGGGTGCTATCCCTGCGCATTTCAGTTCAAGGAGAGCACTCTACTTAAGCCATAGTGCCACTTCTGATTTTCTGGTGGTTAATTGGAGATAAGAGTCTCACGGAATAATTTCGTGCCTAGTCTGGCTTTGAACTGTGATACTTAGATCTCAGCCTCCTGAGTAGCTAGGATTACAGGCTCAAGCCACTGGTGTCTGGCCAAAGACTTTTGTGCCCAGAGTTTATGGCACAGAAGGTGACATCTGTCTTCATCCTTTTTTTTTTTTTTGAGAGGGGTGGGTCCGGTCGTGGGGCTTGAACTCTGGGCCTGAGTGCTGTCCCTCAGCTCTTCAGCTCAAGGCTAGCACTCTACCACTTGAGACACAGCACCACTTCTGGCTTTTTTCTTTTTGCTTATGTGGTGCTGAGGAATCATGCATGCAAGGCAAGCATTCTACCACTGAGCCACCTTCCCAGCCCACCCTTGTTTTTTTAATACAAAGAAATTTGTCATAATCCAGGGAGAGCCACCAGAAAACTGGAAGTGGCACTGTGGCTCAAGTGGTAGAGCACTAGCCTTGAGCTGAAGAGCTTAGGGACAGTGCCTAGGCCCAGAGTTCAAGCCCCACAACCCACAAAAAGAAAAAAAAAAGAAATAATATTAATAAGTTACCTTTAAATCTTTACTTCAAAGTAGTATTGCTTATACTGAAGTAATCCAGGAAAGATATTCTATCCTATATCTGCAAGATATAGGATCTTTTTCATTAAATTATATGATCCACAAGAAAAGGATGCTTATTGTTAATACTGCTAACACTTTAGTAAGCTCTCAGTGAATAAATGTAGGATTTGGTTAAGTATGTGCCTTATAATCATTTTTTTAACATTAAAATTCTATAATTTATAAACATTAATTGTGTGGGGGTCATATAATTATTTTATTTTATTTTTTTGCTGGCCTTGGTCGATGTTCCTAAGCCTCTTTGTGCCGAAGGGTAACACTTTCCGATTTGATCCATAGTGCCACTTCCAGCTTTTTCTGAGTAGTTCATTGGAAATAAGAGTTATCAGGGACTTTCCTGCCCTAGCCGGCTCTGAACTGTGATCCTCAGATATCAGCCTCCTGGGTAGTTAGTATTATAGGCATGAGCCACTGCTGACCAGCTTTATTTTAGATTTAAAAACAGGTATAAATTACAGTTTTTGTTAATTAAAGGGGCTAATATGAGTAACTAAACATTCTATAGAGAGAATATACTAAAAGGTTGTTTATGTTTCTCTATTACTTAGGTGTAGATCACAACCTTAATGTTAACAACAATCAGTGGAGAACTGGTTAAAACACAGGTCCATAAGGCCAACCTAAATATTCTGATTTAGTAGTCTTGAGATGAGGTCCATGGATTTGATTTTCTAACACTCATAAATTAAACTGAGTACCTTCTGTCCTGGGGCTTATTTGTCACCAGCCACTTTCCTTCTTCTTCTTCTTTTCCTACTCCTCCTCCTCAGTTTTTCAGTTAATAAAAACAAGTTGAGGTAGGAGATAATTTTCCTTAAATTCAAATCGCTCTTTTTGCTAAAGTATTACATTAGCTCAACTGTAAGGTCCTTAGGAAGTGGGCCTGCTTTGAGTTAGTTGCTATTCTAGGTCAGCTCCGGGCTTGCCAGAGGGCAAGGGTTGCCCCAGGCTTCCCCCGCTGGGTTTCAGTATTTTCCAGGCAGGGCCTCCCTCCAGACAAACTCTTGATAGGATGCCAATCTAGGAAACCCAGCCTGGCCCACAGGGTCGGCCAACTCCACCCAGTCCACTAATCTCTTCAGAAACCTTGGAGCCCAGGGTGTCTAGGCTTGGCGAGAGACCACCCCGCAGCAGTGCAGCCTCCAGGTTCCGGTGATCCCGCCGCGAGCCAGTGCCCGAACCGCCTTCTCTGGGTACTCGCGGGATTGCTGCCCCTCTGGGAGCTCCCCCGGCTCCCTTCACCTGGAGAGGCGTCAGGCCTGCGTTCAGCGGAGACCCCGCTCACCCGGCTCAGCACTCGCTACCCGTCGTCGTGCGGCTGCCCACCATGTCCACCAAGCCCACCAAATCCAACGTCGGCTTACTGCGCGAGATTTCTCAGCAGATCTTGGCCGGTGGTTCTGCTGGTAAGGCCGCCCCCACTCTACCGCAAGTTAGTCGCTTTCCCCATCTCGTGCCCCGAAACGTTTCTCAGATAAGTCTCCCAACCGAAGTTTTGCCTGCTTTCTCAAAATTCCACAAAGCCGGGGCAGTGTCCAACCTGGGGTAGCTTAAAGCAAAGGAGACCTGAGCTGGCCGCTGAGGCCCGGTGTCCCAGGTAAAGTTGCCCCAGCGCCTGTGCCAGTTGCTCCAGGGTTCCTGGTCTTCTGTGTTCCTAGGCTAAAAACTAAGAGGCCTGCAATTTTTGAGGAATCTTTTTACTTGCTGACTATTTTACTTGAAATGATTCAATCCTGCCTGACTTAAGTTTGTTGTTAATTTTTTTCATTGTGAAAATACTGTACAGAGGGGTTACAATTACATGGGCAAGGTAATGAGTACATTTCTTACCAAGCATTGTAGCCTCCTCCTTTGTTTCCCCTTCCCATCCTTTCCCATCCTCCCCCCCTCCCCCCGCCCCCGTCCCCGTTGTTTATTTTGTAGATTTTTTTTTTCTTCCAAGTTATCATGGATCTTACAAGGATCCTGCCTTCCTCGATCAAGTATTATTGCAGAATTCTGGAAGTCTTCTGAATTCATGTTGTGTGTCTCGGGATTATATTGTGCCATAAACAGACGTAGTAACATTTATATGTATCTTAACACATAGAAACACTTTTGATATAATGGGTTCACATTAAATTAGAGAGATGTATACTGAGGGGAACAAAACATTTAGAAAAAGATCTACTATAACCAATCTTGAAACTAATAACTATTAAATGTGACTGTAGAAAGTTACTAATCAGGGGCTGGGAAGGTGGCTCAGTGGTAGAGCGCTTGCCTTGCATGCCTGAGGCCCCCGTTCTATTCCTCAGCACCACATAAGCAAAAAGAAAAAAGCCAGAATTGGCGCTGTGGCTCAAGTGGTAGAGCACTAGCCTTGAGCTGAAGAGCTGAGGGACAGCGCCCAAGCCCAGAGTTCAGGCCCCACGACCGGACCCAAAAAAAAAAAAGTTACTAATCATTGAATTATGCTTTGTTCACAAATTTTAAAAATATTTTAAAATGCTGGTTGAAATTTTAATCTTATATTTTCTGATACATTTTATTATAAATATATCACTACTAATTGGCATCTAATCATAAAAGTTTTATAAATGTAGGTATTCTTTCCACAACTTATTGTAACACTAATAAATTATATAAGATAATGATTGGAAGATGTCTGTTTAGCTAGTAAATTTAATTTTCAAAGAGATTTGAGCCGAGCACCAGTGGCTAAGCCAGCCCAGGCAGGAAAGTCCATGAGACTGTTAAACCACCAAAAAACCAGAAGTGGCCCTGTGACTCAAGTGGTAGAGTGCTCACCTTGAGCTGAAGAATGCAGGGACAGCGCCCAAGCCCAGAGTTCAAGCCTCACGACTGACTCCCTTCCCCCCAAAAAAGAGAGATTTGAATTTTTTGATAATAGTCATATTAAGACTACTTATCATGAACTACGTGTATCTCAGGGGAACCACAAGCACCATATGTATCACTCTGAACTTCTCTTTCTTTCTTTTTTCTTTCTTTTTTTTTGCCAATCCTGAGACTTGAACTCAGGGCCTGGGCACTGTCCCTGAGATCCTTTTTTCTCAAGGCTAGCGCTCTACCATTTGAGCCACAGCTCCACTTGCAGCTTTTTCTGTGTATGTGGTACTGAGGAACTAAACCCAGGGCTTCATGCATACTAGGCAAGCACTCTACCACTAAGCCACATTCCCAGCCCCTTTGTGCACTTTCCTATGGATGATGTTTCATTAATATAAAATTGGGACTTTCAGTTTTAACCATAATTATTCAATGTTCTTCTATTATTATGATGTCAGTGGCCCTGCTGTTTTCTTACTTGTTTTCTAGTAGTGATAATCCACCTGCATCAATTTATTCACAGTTTTTGGTGAAAGTCCACAATGTCCAAGGCTTTCCTAGCAATACTTGACTCACAAGATTCCCAGACTGTAACCCTGAACAAAGAAAGTTTAATTGGCTGCAAAAGAAAACAAAGCTAATTGATTAACATCCTAAGCTATGACCATTGATACATAAGTGTCTGCATATTGGTTTAAATTATTATATAGTAGGGCACAGCTACATTCAAAAGATGTTAAAAGATGTCAAATCCTTATATTGTTTTGTTTGATTATTTGATATAAATATAATGTGTGGTTCCATCTATAGTCGATACATATAGTTTCTACTATGGAATTACTGGAAAATAATGAGAGTATTTTTGTTTTTTTGTTGGTCATGGGGTTTGAACTCTGGGCTTGGGTGCTGTCATTGCGCTCTTCAGCTAAAGGTGAGCGCTCTACTGCTTGAGCCACAGAGCCACTTCCTAATTTAAGTAATTTATACTTTCATCATAATTAAAAAGAATCACATTTTATTTGGCCCAAAACATTTACATAAAACTATATTTACTTCAGCTGTAATGATGTAGGCTAATCCTATTATACATACTAGACTAAGAGCCAGAAAGAAAGAAACATATAAGAGTGGTAGAATTTTAATAAAAAGAAGGTGCATTTGAGTCTTTGAAACTAGAGTTCTGATTACTGATACTATCTCCTGTGTGGGTATTATATGATCTTCTGATTGTAAAGGTCAAAAATACATTCTGAGATAATGTTCTTTTAAGGGGGAAAAAACATTGGGGAGATTTATTTTAGAAATACTATAGTTTCTTTTGGAATTCATTGCTTTCCTGGAAGAGCATTCCTGGAACAGACTGAAATTAGGCTGGAACATTTGAGAACTCAGGAAGTAAACTCTCTGTTTCTTACTTTTTTGTTAAGTTTTCAAAAATCCTCAAAGCAGAAAGGTAGAAGACTAATTATAGGCAAGAGTGTTCTACGGCTATTAGGATGGCTTGCTATACTTCCTCAGATTTTCTTGATAAAGAGTAAATTATGCCCAAATACTTACACAGACTGCAAAACCAAGTCATTGTGGCATCAAGTTTCCTGTGATCCTAATAACTCAGATAACAATGAACCTAAAGAGGCCAGAGGATAAAATTTTAGTGGCCACCCCCTGCTATTGAGATGCTACCTTTAAACCATGGCAAAACATTTTTATAGACATTCTGAAGTTTGTATCTATAACCTAAATGGGAGTAAGGTGGAAAGCCTATGTTCAACTGAAACTGAGGAGATGGATAAGATAAGGTCTTGTAGCAGCCTTCCACTAGATAGGAAATGTAACTTCTCAGTAGCTCACTGGGTAGCCTGTCTCCCCATTCATTTGCAGAAGTCATAGAACACGTGTGGTTGAGTTTTGCCTGGCCAGTTATGTGGAGATACACATGGCTGTTAGGTTGCTCTCAGATAGAGCTATTTCCCTGTGTTCTCCTGATGTTGTGAGCACTCTTTATTTCTTAGAGTTAACTGTTTATATTCAGCTCTTGAATCCATGTGGTGCAACCTGGTCCCCAGCAGCTTCTGAATATACATGTTCTTGACTAGTCTTCCCAGGAGAGCATTAGAGACTGACTTGCTTTTTAAAATTTTAGGTCAAATTGTAGGGAAAGATTCAAACCAGTGTTGTCAGGGACCTACCTTACTACCAGGCAATTACAGCCAATCCCTGTGTGAAGGCTGGGATAGATGGGATGTGGATGTCTGTGGGGATCTTAAGAAACTAGGTACATCAGGAGAAGAACAATACATAACAATATGTGTCTGTCTTTTATTGCAAGATGACTTATGTTAGAGTACCAGCTATGAGACAAAAACTGAACAAAAGAGCAAGGCTCTGAGTTCAGACCCCGGCACCAGCACCAGCACCAATATATATGTGTGACAAACATATGTGTGTATATATACATACATATATGTATGTGTATACAGATACATGAATATATATACTTATATATACTTACGTATGTATTTATCTCTCAGTCTTGAATTTGTAGTTATTGCTATTATATACAGATATATATATATAATGGTAACTTTGTCTTATGTGATAAAGTTCAGGACAAGTCAATACGTACTGGAATTTTGAAACGCAGGCTATGTTCTCAGATGGTCATTTCCCCCAAACTTCCATAGGGATTTTTTTTTTTTTGGTTGTAGGGCTTGAATTCAGGGCCTGAGCACTGTCCCTCAGCTCTTCAGCTCAAGGCTAGCACTCTACCACTTGAGACACAGCATCACTTCTGGGTTTTTCTGCTTCTGTGGTGTTGAGGAATTAAACCCAGGGCCTCATGCATGCAAGGCAAGCACTCTACCACTAAGCCACCTTCCCAGCCCCTATTTGAGATTGTTGGTTTTTGTTTTTGTCAGTCATGGGGTTTGAACTCTGGGCCTGGGCGCTGTCCCTCAGATCTTCAGTTCAAGGTAAGCGCTCTACCACTTGAGCCACGGCCCACTTCCAGTTTCTTGTGGTTTATTGGAGGTAAAAGTCTCCTGGACTTTCCTTGCTCGGGCTGGCTTTGAACCACAAACCTCAGATCTCAACCTCCTGAGTAGCTAGGATTACAGGCATAAGCCCCTGCACCCAGCTTCTTGCTTTATTTTATACCTACACATCTGAACCTGTATTTTAAGATAGCCATAGTCATTGGTTTGTACTTTAATGTTTTGAAGAAACCACTGTGTTCGAAAACCTTATAGCAAAAATATTCTGTAGAGGGGGAAGGAAAAGCTAGACTTTAAGGATTTGTAAGAAAAAAAATTTTCTTGATGATCATTGCTGATTAGAGACAAAAAATGAATTTTGTACTCTATTATATGCGCTCAATTTAGCTTTCAGACTTATTTTCCACAGCTCTCCTACACCTATTCTGTTTCCTAAGTCTTTTCACCTTTCTTCAATGTTATCTCTATTCTCAATTCTTGGAATGTCTTCCTGTATTTTCTGTTGAAATCTTATCCATATTCAAGGGTACAGCTTGAAAATGGTTTCCAAGTGGCATTTAAAGCTTCATCTAGCTTTAATA